AATAAGTCTACTTGAGGAGTGCCCCATTGCCGAAATACGGAATGAAGAACTCCTTGGTAAATCTCCCATTCGTGTTCTGATCTGTTGCGAAATTCCTGCTCAGGGAATCTGCTATTGTGTTGGTGATGCCAGGTAAGTAGGATGTCACAAGGGCTATGCCATTGGCAATGCACCAATTCCATAATCGGTTTGACTCTGTGCAGAGCGAGTGGGATCGTGCACCGCCTCGATAATTTATGTAGTACATGGTTGCTATGTTGTCTGTGAAGATAGCAACTGTAGAATTGCGGAAGTGTGCGTGAAAATGTCTGCAGGCGTTAGCACGGCTCTGAGCTCTAAGAGATTTACGTGCAGCAGAGACTTCTGTGGAAACCAGCAGCCTTGAATGGAAAGATTGTCCATATGGGCCCCCCAGCAGATAAAAGACGCATCTGTAGTTGTGTGGTAACAAGGTAGGGTCTGGTGAAACAGAGTACCAGAGAGCAAGCGGTCATCCCTGGTCCACCAGTGGAGAGAAGCTTTGACTGTATCGGGGATAGTCACTGTTCTGTTCACATTGTGTCTTCTCTGATAGTAGACCTTTAGAAGCCAATGTTGTAGTGGCCGAAAGTGTAATCTGGCATGGGGTACGACGTATGTCGTAGAGGCCATATGGCCCAACAGCTTGAGCACTGTTATAACCTGAACGGATCATTTGTAGAGGAGCTCGTCCAGCAGTGTTTGTATTGCTTGAAATCTGTGGGTAGGCAGGTAAGCTCTTGCTGAAATGGAGTCCAGACGAGCTCCTATGAATTCTATGTTTTGGGTTGGTTGAAGAATGGATATGTCGTTGTTGATAAGGAAGCCTAAGAGAAGGAAGGTTTCAATTGTAACTCACAGCATTTCTGGTGCTTCCGTGGACGAGCCTGCTTTCAGAAGGCAATTGTCTACGTAAGGGTATATTATCACCCTCTTGCAACGAAGATGCACAGCAACCACTGCTAATGTCTTTGTGAAAACCCTGGGTGCTGATGCAAGGCCGAAGGGGAAGACTCAGTACTGAAAGTGATCTGTACCGACTCTGAATCATAGAAATTTCCTGTGGGCAGGATGAATTGTTACGTGAAAATAAGTGACCTTGAGGTCAAGAGCAGCAAACCAATTGCTCCGTTCCAGAGTGGAGAGTATAGAGGCCAAGGTCACCATCTTGAAGCGTTGCTTGCGGAGGTATTTGTTTAGTTGTCAGAGGTCCAATATAGGTCTCCATCCACCGGTTTTCTTTTGAACCAGAAAGTAGCGGGAGTAGAACCCTCTCCCTTGGAATTGAGGTGAAACCCTTTCTATGGCACCGATATGAAGTAGGTGAGTAATCTCGGTGCATAATAAGTCCTTGTGAGATGAGTCCCTGAAAAGGGACGGGGATGGTGGGTTTGTGGAAGGTAGAGATAGGAATGGGATGGCGTGGTAATATTGAGCCATTGATGGTAGAAAAGCCTCAGCTGGTGGTGAAACATATGGAGGTTTGGTGGGATTGTCTGCCTGCTCTCGACAAACACGTCAAACGTGCTGCTTGTTAACCAAGTTCGCGCACAGCTGGTCAGATTCCTACATCTCAGAAGTCCTCTGACGTTGGGGGTGACATGTTTGATCAAATTGTCGTGGCAGATGCTGCTACGTTCCTAGTGATCTAAGTGTTATTCTAGAGTCCTAACTGGAATGTAGGCACAGAATCTGTCTGCTCACCGAATAATTGGTCTTTATCAAAGGGTAAGTCCTCTACTTTTGTTTGTAACTCTCTAGGAACTCTAGGAGCAGCCTTTTGGACTCTAGCAATGCTTTCATTAATGGAGTCAATTTAGTATAATTGTCAAAATTATGGTTGGATAGGTGAGGAAGGTAATTCGCGATCCTTAGGAGTAGAGTCGAAGACGTGTAGACCTTTCTACCAAATAAATCAAGTCTTTTCACCTCCTTGTCTGATGCATTAGTTTTATATTGAGGCGCCTTTGCCCTTTGATGGGCTGCATCAACCAAAAGAGAGTTGGGTTGTGGGTGAGAAAACAAGAACTCGGAGCCCCTGGGGAGGGACAAAGTACTTCTTATCAGCACGCTTGTTAGTTGGGAGGGCCGAAGCAGGTCTCTGCCACAATTCATTGGCCACCTCTAATATCGCCTCATTCAGAGGTATAGCTAGTTTGGCACTCTGGGTTGTTTGTAAATTTTTTAACAGGCAATGCTGTTTTTCTTTAATTTCTTGTAATTGTATTTGTTGTGACGCCGCAACTCTTTTAAAAAAGGTCTTGAAATTGGCTCACATCATCTGGTGGAGAAACATCACCAGGTATAACCGCCTCATCCGGTGAGGAAGACTGATCCATTGGGGATACCTCCGGTAGCTGTGCATCCGCCGTATTCGATTGCATCTCACCCTGGTTAGAAGGGGAAGGATGGACGGGAGGTGGATCTTGTTCTGAGAATGCAGGAGCCAAGAGCGGAGAGTGCGTGGGGGAGGAATATCCCATCATGGATCTTGGTGGGGATGTGGGCGAA